CGCTCCCTGACCATGGTTGACCTGCACGACAACCCAGCCGCCTGCCTATTGCACCTGCCCAAACGCTCTCTGGCCAGATACAAATCCTCCCTCACGGTGCATCTCGTGAACGCAGCGCGGGCATGTATCCCACTGCTTTGGAAGTCTCCCCAGCCTCCCTCTATACAGCTTTGGTACTCCAGGGTGAACGACACCTATAAGATGGAGGATCTGACGGCCTCCCTGAAAAACACTGAAGAGCGGTTTAACTCCACTTGGAGACCGTGGGTCTACTTCCAAGATACAGATGACTACCTCCGGCACATGACCCAATGAAATGCACCCAGTCCGACTGACTTCGCTGTGGACAGATGGCCTGGGAATCCAGCACGGGGGTCCAAGCCCCTTGTTCTCTCCCCTACCCCATCCCTCTCTCTCTTCCCCTGCTTTTGTCATACCTCCCCACCTTGGCTTGCTCTGCTCTGTTCTTCACTGCCTTCCCTTCTCATAATCTGATCAAGTACTCCAGAAGTAGTGCACAGGAGGGGCAGGGAGGTCACAATGCAGCCCTCATCACTATGGCAGCAGATGTTACACCTAGCGACTTATCATTGATATTCTTGGCTATGTTTATCTGCCCTGAAATGTTTAGAGTACTTGGCTCCCCCAAGCGTTCTTCACAAAGTAATTTCCCCATCATGCGCTGGAGCCCTGTTATTGACGCGGATATAGCTAAATGCTTGGAGTGTTGTTACTTTTCGAAGCTTTTATCGCTGATAGATGGAAGATTTCAGTGTGACTGTTTGTTCGGATTATACTTGTAGTGTACTATATTACTACTGTATGTCTACTGTATTGCCTGACGTTTTCAATAAAAGCTTTTGAATTATAAAAAAATAAATAAATAACCAAGTCCTGCAGGGAGAAGAACCCCGAGATTATGGTGTGTGTGTTTAGGGGTGGGGGTGTGTGACCATGTTTCATGCTACACTCTCAATAGGGGTGTAACATGAAACATGGTCTAAAAAGTGGAGTTATAATTTAAAGCTTTTTTGCTGCTTGTTAAGAAAATATATTTATATATATTAGAGGTGCACCGAAATGAAAATTTTAAAAACAAAACTGAAAGGAAAAAAAATGTCAGGCCGAAACCGAAACCAAAAACGTTTTTTTCTAACTTTTTCACATTTTAAAAAATATTTTATTTTTATTTTTTCAAAAACTTTTTAAAAATTTGATATTGTATTTTTATTTATTTGTTTATTTTTAATAAATATTTTTATTTTTTACTTTACTTTTAGGTGCTTCAGGGAAATATTAGTCCTTAATCTCTTTTTCTGCAGCCCCTGTTATAAATGAACAAGAATCCTCTATACTGAGTGTTCCTGTTCATTTATAACATGTGGAGATAGTATGTTTACTATAACCACAATCATGAATGAACAGGAGGTGATGTAGATCACTTCCCATTCATTCATAACTGAGGATATAGTAACCATACTGTGTCCTCAATCATGTACAAACACTCAGCGATCACTGCGTGCGTGAAGGAGAGCTCTGCCTCCTGTGACAGTTTTTACAGTTAAAAGATCTTACAAGGAGACCCCTTCAATTAAACTTTAGCTTTATGGCCCAAGCTAAATGACTGGAATGTCTTTCTGTTCCAGAAAACTGCATATTTATGCCTGCCTGCTGTTTAACAATTATGAGCCATTCTCAAAATTCCACAGGAAGTTCACATACTAAACAGAAAATGCTTCTAAAGAGTTAAAAAAAATAGAAAATTAACAAATTCTAGTTGTGTCTCTGTTATGAAAACTTCTTCTCATCTTCTGTTTCTTCACCTGTACAGAAAGCAAAGAAAAGCTTTCCAACTGAGGCTGCTTAAGTGACACTAAACTCAGGAGTTAAAGTAGTACTAAAGGCTAATTGTTTTTTACCTTAATGCATTCTCTGCATTAAGGTAAAAAAAAACCTGCTACCTTTCTATG